ACGTTTATATAGGGGAACTACACTGTTAGCAGTAACTTGGTATGCACGTATTTCATGTTAGCTTAGCTTCTTAGCCTGAGCTAGCTCGGAGGCAGCAGGTCCCGCCTCGGCTCCGCCTCTTTGCCCTTATTTGGAGCAGGCGGGATTAGACTCTGACGTCGCTGTCAAGCCGTTAGTGGCCGACTCCGCCTACTAACGGCTTCTCGTCAACTCTGCAGAATCCTATGGGTGACGTCACGGACACTACTTCCATTTATATATACAGTCTATGGTTAAACCCCAAGCCTGTTTTTCAGGTCTCAGGCTCGAAAATGACATTCCAGAACAAATGACCATATCTTCCCTTCTAAAAGGGATAAATTAATAATCTTTTTTCTCAAAGTAATGATACACCTGTGAGTTGGATGTAGAGAAGTCAGAATCAATATAGATGTTTTTATTTTAAAGTAAATTCAGATTAAACATAGTAAAAAAAAAAAAAATTATAGTGTCCGTCCAAAAAGAAAACATTACTTATAGTGAAAACCACCCTTGAATGATGGGATCGGAGACTAAAAGCTTTAGGAATCCAAACTATAACATATAATAAGTACCCTGTATCAAGCTTGATGCAAAACAAGTGATATTTGACCTTTTTAGAGAGGTTTAGCAAAAAAAACCTCTTCTGGGGTCATTTGGGTGGATTTGCCGTTTCTCTGGAACCCAATTGGTCGATTTTGATGATTGACATCTCTTTTGAACCGTTAGAGCCAATAGAATCGAAGGGAAAGTTCCAAATACACAGACACGTTACCATTGAGAAGTGAAAGCTATGCGCAGGCAGTCGAAAGCTATCTTACGCTCTGAAATCTAGGTTTATTGCTGATGGATTATCAGAAATAATTTCAAAGTGACACAGACACATTGGATTAACCTATGGATTAACCTTCAGCAGCGTTTTTATCGTTTTAATGCCATTGAACACAACTTTTTATCAGAACAACAGCAAAAAGTAAGTCATATTGTCGTTTTTCCTCCGTAATGCTACGTGTTCTGAAGTCTGGTTTTGTTTCCCATGTCGCGTTATGATGATGTGACATGTATGTAGTAACGTGGGTTTGCATGTTATTGTTCTCTTTTATCCTTTATCTACTTGTCTTTCATCGTTTCTTTATAACTGTTGATGTGTTGTGATTTAAAAAAAGGTGTCCATTACCATCTGGCCGAGGACAACAGCTGGAAATTAGCGATGTTGGCTAAAGCTAATGCCCCGTTTACTGTTTTTTGTGACCGTTGATCAATAGGGACTCTCCGTGACACTATAAACAAATAAACTAAACACTTGCTAGTGCTTCTGAATTTGGGGAATTCTCACCTGGGCTGGGGGGCTGGGCCTTGGGCGGGTTCTTTTTGGAGTCGGTGTTGAAAAAGTCCGCTGGCGGGTCTTCGCCGCGCTCGATCTTGCACTCGAAGGCGTATAAACACTGGATGTACTGTTTCTTTAGCGAGCTGGCAGCGCTGCTCGATGTTCCCACGTTCAGGTTGGTAGACAGCTCTCTCCACTTCTTGTTCTTGTTCACCTGGTGGGCGAGAGACAAGGGAGGAAGACTTGAGGAATTATTGTCTGTTATTAAAACACTGATATTCTGTTCAGAATGAGACGACACTGCTGTGCAATAACAGTGGGATATATACTTTTTTTAATTCATTTTTTGTGTTATTACTGGCTGCTACTTTAATATGTTCACTTACTCTTATGGTGCTAGTTCTTGTTTTTATTAATCTACTGTTTGAAATTGGTTTGTCCATGCATGTAATTCGCTCAAAATAAAAGCGAATTAAGTATATGTAGGTATAAGTAGAAAAAAACAAAGAAAACAAGCCTACTATAAATCTGAAATTAAATTAAAGAAAAAAAATTCAAAAGTAAATAATACAAATAAATAAATATAATAATAAACAAAATATATGAGAAAAACAAAGTATCTATGTATATATACACACCAAATATACAAGACATATATTTTGTTGATGCGCGCTTGCCTCTTATCTAATTATGTTAGTCTACTTGTTTCATTTCTCCTTTATCTGCACTCTCCATGTAGATTTCCCCGTCGTTGGACGAATGAAAGTTTTCCTTATTCTGATTAAAGTACCTGTGTGAGGCCTCCGATCTCTTTGACGGACACGTAGAGTCTGAAGAGGTCCAGAGGTTTGCGTCCCACAGCAGGAAGGTTGTTCATTCCCATCGCCTTTTCCTCCGCGAAAGCCAGAAATCGATCGACCCACATCTTCCTCTCCGGCTCCGGGCCGAGCTCATACAGACGGGTGATCTTTTCGTTAGTGAGGGTGGAAGAGCTCGACTTCTGCGAGGGCGAAAGAAGAGAAGAAATCGTGAGGAAAAGCTTCAATATAGGGATGCTCCGATCGCCAATTTTGGGGCCGATCGCCGGAATCAGTATCGGCCAATATAAGATATGAGGACGAGTGGGCGGGGCCTATGGGGATCTTCCATTTAAAGTGATGTTTAAAACTCAGTTAAGGCTCATTCACTGGCGCTTCCACAAACAACAACCAACATAATTATTACATTCAAATAAAGTACATTATTCAAGTTTACTTTGGATAATAACACGGGAGAAATGAGCAGAAGCGCTCTCTTTTCTCCCCTCCCT